GGTCGAGCCAAGAATCGTCGGATCCAACATTACAATGGGTCGGATTTAGTGGGAGAAGTGAAAGGTTCGAAGAATCAAGGATCGACCTCAGCCCACGAGACCTAGGAGTAGTCTTTGTTAGATCAGTGTTAAAATCCCCCATGATTATGTGATGCTTATACTCTGAGGAAAAAGTATCGAAGAGGGTTTCAAGATGAGAAAAATAGTTTATGGCAGGTGGGCAGTAAACCACTCCAAGAACAGCCTTAACCCCCTTGACGTCCACCTCGAGGACCAAACTTTCCGGAGTCCCGCTGTAGAGGGATGGAGAAGAGGATAGTATTTTAAAGGGAATGTCACTTCGAAGAAAAATAGCAACACCCCCTGCTCTCTTACCTATTCGGTCATTTCGGATTAAGATAAATCCAGGTAGGCTGTAAGAGGTAGAAAGAAGCTCGGGTTTGAGCCAGCTTTCTGAGATTAATATAGCATGGATTAATGTGTCGGAAAAGATATCCAACAACTCCGAGTGGTGTTGAGGAACACTTTGAGCATTAACGTGGCAGATGTTAAGGCAATTATGGAATCGCTGACATTCATTAAGTAAGAAATTGTTTATGGATAAACAATCGTCAAGAGAAGAAGAAAAAGAATCAAGGGAACTACAAGCTGAAAGAAATGAGTCATCGTCGGACATACTAAATAATATAATATGAGAATAGATAAGATAAAATGTATATATAAATAAGTGTAAGCTAAATGTTTATATTAAAAATAGTACTACTAAAGATAGTACTACAACTTGGAAACCTGCCGGTTGACTGTCACAAATCTAAAAGTACCAGAAGCTATTTAAAATACATATAAACAATGATATTGACAATCTAAAAGGACATGAAGCTAAATATTTAATAAAAATAAAACCATAATGAAACATGCAATTGACGCACTGACAGTTTGACATTATTACAGCAGTGACATTGACAAGTTTTGTCAAACAAATATTGATTTTGTTTATTTATTACTAGACGGTATGACGATAAAACTATTAAATCTATCACTAACAAAGGAAAATTCTAGAAGCATAAAAATAGGAATTTTTGAAGAATTAGTATATACGTTACTTTTTGGGACCATTACGCCTCGAGCGAGAAGGAACCGGCGCCGGCGACGACACAGTCATGTTTTTCGAGCCGGCTTTGGTACTCAATGGAGGCTGAGGAACCTCCAACGATCTACCATGCTCTGAACCCAACCCACACTTCGTCGTAATTGAAAACACGGCGCCGCTTACCGTCCGGCAGTTTTATGTTTATGTTTCCGTCCATAGTCCACACACTGCGTACGCCAAACAACTTGCGAGCCACGGTGAAGGCTGACTGTCGCTGCCGCGTCAGAACTCGGAACTCGGAGAACATAGGAGGTTCCCTTCAGCTTGGTCTTGGCCCTCCAGACCTTCTTCTTCAGAGTGAGATCAGTAAACCGGAACAACACAGGTCTAGGTCGTCCCTCAGTTGCAGCGCCCAGTCGGTGACTAACTTTAATCGAGGCCGGTGTTACATCAGGAAGTTCCAGCTGCCTTGTCAATATGGATGCTACAACATTAGCAACATTCTCCTCGGGCTGTTCAGGCACTCCACCAAGCAAAAGGAACTTCTGCCGGTGACGCATCTCCATTACATCGGAACTCCTACTGAACTCAACCATTTGGTGCTGCAGTACTGTGAGGACACTCCACACGTGATCTTTGAAGACACTATAATCCTTCTTTAAGCCGCTCAAATCTTCTCCAGGTGAAGAAACTTTTAAGTGTGCCTCAAAGTCTGCCATTCGCTGTTTTAATGAAGCAATGACCAACCGATGAGTCTCCGCAAGGTCATCAATAGTAGTCATCCTGAATATTGTGTTTGTATTATGTAGCTGCTCGTACCACTTGTGAATATAAAGCAATTGGAAAGTGACAAGTCACCGGCTAGTTTATGTGATGATTCCTAGTTTATATCATAGGGAAATAGTTTCCCACACAGTATATAATTGATTCAGAGTCACTGACTTGATATAAACGAAAATCCCAAAAAAAAATATGAGTTTAACTAATATTTATGTAATTTAAAAACAGAGCACATAATATAGCGACTTATTTACACATACCCCCACCAAATAACCTATATGTTCTATTTTATTCTTATTTATTTAGTTATTTATTTATTACAACTTTTAGTTTGATTTGTAGGTATATATTACATTTATGTAGGCATATAATATATATATTTATTTATTTTTATATGTATATATATATATTTTATATACATATTATTACACGGTATGTCTTTACCATTCACGGGACCACAGGGTCCCGGTCATTTGGGAGGCGTACGAGGGGCCGAAGCCAACTGCGCAGAGGCCCTTTAGACAACTATAATATAAATGTAATGGACACACAAACCGGCGACTATCCCTGTATGCACTATGGAAATGCACCCAAGGACAGTCCCCGGTTAGTGTAGGACTATTGTGAATAATGGAAAAAAAAGGTAGGGCTATGGATGGGTTGTTGTGGACTGGTAAATTGGGAACTATGGATGACTATGACACCTGCCGAAACAATGTAATTTTTACACGTAAAAATGGCAGGCGGAGACTCGCCAACTCACCGACCGGGCCCCGGGAATGGTTGCTAGATATAGCAACAGAGGGGCAACGAGAATGTGAGTGGCTGAAGGGTTAAGAAACTACCACCGCTTTCTACTCAGATCATCTGCTCCAGCCGAAGCCTCCTGCATCCCTGGCCCACTCGCGACTTACGAATAGTTTCTTACCCTCCGAGCAGGATCACTGCTCTCGCGACTCCACTCTGGACGGCCAATGAAGGCAAGCCAGAGGTGGGAGACCTGTTCCTTGTCATCTTTCACTCCAGCCAGCCAATTAAGGCAAGCCGGAGAAGAAGGAACGGTGACTTCTCCCTGGAGCACTCGGGATGATGGTAGCCCGCGGGATCGCTAATGCCCGTCACCTCGCCTCAAGGTGCCCTGCGGGCTTACACGGTATTATTATTATTATTTTAAAGTCATTAAATTGTACACTAGACGACCCATATCTGTCTCCTATTACAGCTCCATCCAAAGGTTGTCTGGAAGAGATCGCCTTGTGCGATAAGACCGCCCATTGTGCACTATATCAATTGTTTGTTGTCCTTTATGTTTATGTGGTGTACAATAAAGAATATTATTATTAATATTATTATTATTTCCATATATTTATTTAAACTTTCTCTAAAATTACATTTTTAAATACTACAGTATAAAAATAATATTTAAAAATATAAAAATAGGAGCCGACCAGTAGTGGGAGCACGGTCCAAGCTACCTGACCGGTGGTTAGGGCTCCAGAGACAGAAACCTCCTCACATGCGCGCCGTTTCAAGGAGAACTGCCTTCTGTATCAGGCCCTTGACCCAACTGCCTAACGCTAGCCTCCTAAGGTGGTTGTCGAGGCTATTAGGGATTAACCCATTGGCCGACACGACTATCGGCACAATGATAGCCGAATCTACATTCCACATGTCGACAACCTCGTGAGCCAAATCAAGATATTTGATTTGTTTATCTTTTTCAGCTTTCACGAGGTTCTCATCATGAGGAATAGTGATATCGATTATCATCGTGCGGCGCACTTGTCGGTCTATCACCACTATATCAGGTTTGTTGGCTATAATAGTCCTGTCAGTGATGATAGACCGGTCCCAGTACAACGTGATATGGTCATTTTCCAGAACTGGGTCGGGCACATACTTGTAGTACGGTACCTCAGACTCAACAAGTCGATAGTGCAAAGCAAGTTGCTGATGGATAATCTTGGCTACTTGATTATGCCTATGCAAATATTCACTGTTAGCCAAACGACCACAACCAGAAATAATATGTCTAATGGATTCACCAGGACTATGACATGCCCGACATATGTCAACCGTCCCATCCTTAATTATATATTTCCGGTAGTTATTCGTAAGGATAACTTCGTCCATAATTGCACAGACAAATCCTTCAGTTTCTCCAAAGAGATTACTGAATCGTAGCCAAGATACGGACGCTAGAAAATCTACACTGGGTCCATGTAGGGCCCGGAAGAAGCGTCCGTGGAGCTCCTTGCTATGCCATACCTCCTTGCGATCATTGACGCTCAGTCCACAGGTTTGCGCCAGTTCTCTTTTGCCAAGGATAGCGGAGTGAATCCATTGTCCACCGCTGCTATTCTCGATGCATACCCTCGTTGACTTTCAGGAAATATTCCCTGAGGCTGCACACCTCACGGTTGTGAAGGGTCTTAGCATTTAATAGGCCTCGACCACCATACTTCCGCGGGATGTACAACCTCATGACCGACGAACGAGGGTGATGCATGCGATTTGCAGTCAGCAGGGTCCGGACTCGTCTATCCAGGGTGTCAAGTTCAGTCTGTGTCCACTTGAGTATACCAAAAGAATACATTAGGACTGGCATGACCCAACCGTTAAAGGCTCGCACCTTGTTTCCGCCTGATAAGGAACTTTTTAGTACCTTATTCAGGCGGCCAAAGAAGCGCTCCTGTAGCGATTGCTTCATGTCCGGTCCATTAATGCCTAATCCTTCTGACATACCCAGGTACTTGTATGTATCGTTTGCGGAGAGTGATCTCAGTTTTGTGAAATCTGAGAGTTCTAGTCCCTCAGATTCCACAATCCCTCCTCGCTTTACATGCATGACCGCACACTTGTCTACTCCAAACTCCATTCTGATGGAACTACTAAATTTTTCAGTTATATTCAGTAGTTCCATCAGTTGTTTCTTGTTTATTATTATAATTATGGCAATAAGCTTACCCTCTATTACATGGGACTCATAACGTAAAATAGTGAAAAGTGGGTGTTACATTGTACAGTGGCATTAAGTGCCGTAATGTGCCACCTTTGCCTACCTCTTCGGGGTAAAAAGGGTAATGGTATGTGTAAACAAAAAATATGTCTCAAAAGTGGTTTCTTTCAGGATTCGCTTCGATAGTTATTTTGTGCTACCAGCCTGTCTGTATGTGAAAGCTGAACCAGATTTTAAAGCAGAAGCTACTGGTTGGGGTGCCCTCGGTCATCACCAGGGTCTCGCAGATGTCTTGCAAACCGTAAGAATACCATATTTTACTTTATCCATTTTTATGGTGACAAACGAGCACAGATTGCCTGATGGTAAGCATTTTTTTTAATGGGACAAGCCCGCCACAACCTCCAAAAACCGCACAGTAGATACAACCATGAAAACACCGGAGCACTGAAGTCCGGCGAAAACACCGGAACACTGATGGTAAGCATAGAAAATCGACATGCAAGAACGTTTGCGTTGTGTTTTGTACTATATGTGAGGTTACCGGAGGCCCAAACCTCCGTACCTAACTCCCCAAGCCTCGAATCCCCAAAAAATTTCAAATTCCTAATCCCCAAAGAGCCGGTAACGCATCCGTAACTTCTCTGGTGTTACAGATGTCCATGGGCGCCGTGAATAGGGTAGTTGCCTAAATTTTATTTCAATGTCCGTCTGGTAGATTAATTTAAAACTTTAGACACTAATTTTTTCTTTTCTCACAAAATTTAATACTTTCGACGATATATTAATTTGAAATGTCGTGTGACGTCACTATGCCCTACATTTCGTAGCACTTTGTGACGTAACGACCTCCCACTCCTAAACTTAACTCCATTTTATCTAAGTATAGTAACTTTATACGAGAAAATAAAAAATTACGTGTCTAATATTTTTTCATTATCTAACCGACGGACTAATTAGATTTTTAATTTTTATTCCCTGGCAACTACCCTACTGCTTACCATCAAGTGATCCATCTGCTCCATTGTCACCATTAAGTACTATCTCATTAAAAAAACCTTATCTGTGGACGGCGGAATCAGTTAAAACCTAATAATTGGCAGTGTTTTTCAACTGCCTCGTTGGCCGAGTGCGATTCCCGGGTCGGGTAAAGTATTACTGGGTTTTTTTTTAATATTCTCAGTAGTAACACGGAGTCTGGAATTGTGCCCGGTATATGACAATAGGCTCACCCCTTATTTAATGGGACTCATAACATAAATAGTGAAAAGTGGGTGTTACATTGCATAGTGGTATAATGTGCACCTCTGCCTACCCCTTCGGGGATAAAAGGCGTGATGTTATGTTTATGTTAATCAACGAGGCATATGTTTTAGGTGACTCTTAGAAAGTATGACACGCAGACCTGCTCCAAGCTGTACCCGAAACACAGACATTTAGTAAATGGTTTTGATGAGGCCACACAAATGTGCTACGGAGACGACAATGATCCTAAAGACACCTGTCAGGTACTTATTGTGAACAAATATAATTCGTCTTTTTTATATAGCATAAGCCGGTAAATGAGCTGACGGATCACCTGATGGTAAGCAATCGGCGTCGCCCATGGACACCTGGAACACCAGAGGCGTTACAAGTGCGTTATTGGCCTTTTGGGGATTAGGAGTTTGAGGATCGTTGGGGATTCAGGGATTGGTGAAATTGGAGAAGGGGAGGGTAATTGGGCCTCCGGTAACCTCACTCATACGACGAAACACAATGCAAGCGTTGCCTCACGTCGGTTTTCTGTAAAGCCGTGGTATCACTCCGGTCGAGTCGGCCCATTCGTGCCGAAGCATGGCTCTCCCACACGTAAATCGTCTAAATTGCGAAATTGCCAACCCGTATTGAGAAAGCATAATGATTATTTATATATGCTCAAACCTTCTCCGTGTGAGAAGAGGCCTTTTGTCAGCAGTGGGCATTTATAGGATGTTTATGTGATTTGATTTAAGGAAATAAATAAATATGCAACTTAAAATAAACTAAAAGTAATGGAGACATACAAGGTGTAGTTTTGAAACCGTGTCATTTCCCGTGTCATGTCACAGAAGTCATAAAGGTTCAATATAAGAGAAAGTTTCGGGCCAATAGTTAAAAATACGGCTATAATAAATCATTTAAGTTCGACAGTATTTCGGAATAAGCGACAGCAATGTTTCTTATTGGAGTTTTATGAAATTAGGAATAATATCAATTACGTGTTTGAGTTTGTGTGTGTTAAACCGCATTATAAAGCTAGTTACAAGACGGCGGTGTGTAATTTACAGAAAAATGAAAAATATTTACCTACAACTCTTTTTATTGATTCGGACTCAGAATCGATAGCTGAGTTACCTCCTAGAAAATGACGCGGCTTTAAAACAACACCTTGTATAAATGAAAAAAATAAAACTAAAAATGACTATTTACAGAGAGCATCGAAAAATTACTGCCTCATTGGCCGAGTGGTCGCAAATGCGACTGCCGGGCCAGGGGCCTCAAGTTCGATTTTTGAGTCGGGAAAGTATTACTGGATTTTAAATTTTAAAGTCTCAGTGGTAGCACGGAGTGTGTTACATGTATGTTTAGTATGTATCAACATCACTAATTACTAAGTAGTGGCCCCCTCACTATAATGTGTTATATAAGGTAGGATACACGTCAGTAACGCCGCTGTCTACCTGTCATAGTCTGGTGTGTGTACACGTCGTGCGCCCTGCACATTATTGTAATAAATCCAAGTAAAATAAATCCGTCTATAATTTCGTAATCCACCAACATAACAAAGTGCACATTCCGCATGTGTCAAATTCATGTGTTCCCTATCATTGCAGGGTGACAGTGGAGGACCATTGCAGGTGAAGGACCAAGAAAAATGTTTCTACAGAATCCTCGGTGTCACATCTTATGGCAGGCAATGTGGGCGAACGGCCGGTTCCGGCATCTACACCAAGGTCTCCCATTATCTACCGTGGATTGAAAGCATTGTGTGGCCATAGACTTGTGGCAACACATGGTACATGTCAACGGGTGACGTCACAACATCCTACATCGCACACGTGAAGTTTACATGCGAATTAACACGGATAGAAAATCCCAACGGACAACTGTTGGGCAGAAAGCCCGCCAGGCGCGATCACCTCGCCTGATCGGAGGATCCTCCTTTTCCGATCTTAGGGAACTATACCCTCTGTTCCCTAAAGACTCTATGAGACTACAGTACGATATAGTGTGGAGTGTCCGCGGCTCTTTGCAGCCAATTTGATGGCGCCTTTGTTGAGTGGGGAAGATCATTAATGACTCCTCCCGCCCTGGGTGAGAGAGAGGGAGTGTCAGGCTCTTACTGACTAAACATCACCCCGTTCGTATTCCTGCTTCGAGCCGGAGCCCCGGCAACCCGTTCAAAACTAATCCTTACTAATATTATAAATCGGAAAGTGAGTTTGTTTGTTCCACTTTCGCGCCGTAACTACTAAACCGATTGTTTTGATTTTTTGCAAACGTAAAGTTAAAATTCTGGATTAATAATAGGGTACTTTTTATCCCGGAAAAAATTGACGTTTCCGAGGGAAAACAAAAATATTGGTATAGATGGCGCTGTGTGTATTGGTATATGTCACATAGGCTACTGTTTATCCTTTTGTGACGCGAGCGAAGCCGCGGGTAAAAGCTAGTATAATATAAATCGGAATAATGGGGGCCTGGGTGCTTATTCTTGAATCCAATTCCGATCGATCGACATTGACATTGTGAAATTTCGTACTCTTGTAACATTTCGTTTCGTGTATATAGGCTAGCGCCTTTTCCATCCGTATTGCGTGGATATTAAATGAACTAAATGGTATTGAGTTTGGTTTTATATTCCGTACTCTGAATGCTATTCTAACAGCTACGATTGTGGTTGTATAGTTTTGACATTGGATAATTATTGAGATTTTATTGGATTGAAATAGCATTCACATTGAGATTGGTTACAAGAGTAAGCACCCTGATTTTATAGTATATTTTTTTTAAAATAAAAAATGTAGTTGCTACCAAAAACTTTAATAAAGGCGGTATATTTATGTGTGCGTGTACTTGCAACACCGTAATGGATGAAGTGTAACGACGGGTCATGTCACGTGACAGATGTCCTTTGTGTCAATGTGTGTGTGTTCTGCGTGTAAGTCTATAGTAGCCAGGTGCCGGTCAGTGGGTCGTCTTAGGGGCAAGGAGTTTAGTACTTAAAAAAATTTTCATCAAAAATGAAAATTCTTATAAATGACTAGTTTTTCATTTCCATCGCTTAGTATACCTAATAATAAAGCGAAAATCATCTCGACATCTTTTGTCTAGGACTTCAGGTTCGCCTGTAAATGAGCATTAAATGTCAGTTGGCGGAAACCTTTTCAGCACTCGGCGGCCGCTACCGCGGCACCGCTCGCTACGCTCGCTCGCCTCGCGCCTTGTGAGTGTCACAGTTTTAGAACTGTGAGAGAGACTGTGCGAGAGAAACCCCGACACATTTGGTTAGGTTAGGTTAGCCTAACCTAACCAAATGTGTCGGGGTGCCCAAAAAGTGTTCTTACACACTCCCTCAACTGACCTTAAGGGCTCTTTTTCAGGCGAACCTGTAGCCCTAGATAAAAAGTGCCCAGATAATATTCACCTTATCTTTAGGTATACTAAAAGATAGAAATGAAAAAACCAGCCGCTTATAAGAATTCTCATTTTTGATGAAAAGTCCTCGCACCATAGCGCCACTAGGGCTACACTCTAACCCAGGTGCCACAGCCGTTGTTTTAAGAGACTATGTCCCCTTTTTTTTCAACATCCTGTATTGCAAGTCTCTAAATCTAGCTTTAGTTTTTTTGAGGTTTTTATTTGTATTTTAAGTTGCTTATTTATTAATCTTAAATATTGTAAGTATAATTAAACAATGCAGTGAAAGATCGGATATTATTATTATGTAAATAATAAGTGTGGGAGAGCCATGCTTCGGCACGAATGGGCCGGCTCGACCGGAGTGATACCACGGCCTCACAGAAAACCGACGTGAAGCAACGCTTGCGTTGTGTTTCGTCGTGTGAGTGAGGTTACCGGAGGCCCTATTACCCTCCCTTTCCCCAATCTCCCCAACTCCTGAATCCCCAACGATCCTCAAACTCCTAATCCCCAAAAGGCCGATAACGCACTTGTAACTCCTCTGGTGTTCCAGGTGTCCATGGGCGACGCCGATTGCTTACCATCAGGTGATCCGTCTGCTCGTTTACCGGCTTATGCCATAAAAAAAAGAAAAATATAAATTTTTATTTCATCAATTACTACCTTCTACCAGCGGCTTCGCCCGCGTGGCCGTGGGATAAAAAATGGCTTACATTTTAATACAGATCTATCCCTGTACCTGTATTGGCCAGGGCTTCGCAGGAAAAGACTCAAAGAATACTCAGCAAGTAGAAATTTAATGAGGTGTTAACTCAGCGAGTACAGCACAGCAAGTGAAGAGATTAGCGTCGGTACATACAAAATAAAATAATACAACTACTTAATTGCTAACATTATACTAAGCACACGTCATTGCTATGGTATATCCATCAGGCGCTCGTACATTCCCCCGGGTTTTGAAAGCGTTGGTTTCAACAAGATTCATCCGAAGACACGGGCAGTGGGCAGATCCTGTTGAACGCCCTCCGAATGACTCCCGTAGACGTCTGGATGTCAGCTACCCGAACAATGCCGTCTGTTCCTGGGTGAACAGCCACAATTCGTCCTAGTCTCCACTTCAAAGGAGGAAGATTGTCTTCCTTAATCACCACTAAGGTGTTCAGCCTTAAATCATCTTTGGAGGAGTGCCACTTGGTCCGCACCTGCAGTTCGGATACATATTCCTTGCTCCATCTGCTCCAGAAGTGCTGGCGTAGTTGCTCTATTCTATGAAATCGAGACAGATGGTTCATAGAATGATCCCGGTAGTCAGGCTGCGGTAAAGAAGTCAAGGGTCTTCCAACAAGAAAATGACCCGGCGTCAGTGGAGTACAATCTACAGGATCTGATGATAATGGCGTTAATGGACGAGAGTTCAAAACCGCTTCAATTTTAGTGAGTGCAGTGTAAAGCTCTTCAAATGTCAAATTACAATTGCCCAACACTCGTTGCAAATGATATTTTGTTGACTTCACTCCTGCCTCCCAGAGTCCGCCGAAATGTGGGGTGTATGCGGGTATAAAATGGAATTTTATTCCATCATTCGCTGCACTTTCACCCAAGGACGAGCTATTAGCCTTTAAAAACTTAGATAAGTCGTTGTACGCACCAACAAATGAGGTACCATTGTCAGAAAATATATTACTTGGTTTACCTCTTCTAGAAATAAATCGATGCAAAGCTAGTAAGTAACTATTGCTAGATAAATCACCAACAAGCTCCAAGTGAATCGCCTTGGTTGTAAAACAAATAAAAATTGCGATATACACCTTTACTAGCCTGCATCCACGGCCTTGACGACTGGCACACATGATAGGCCCGGCGTAATCAACACCAGTGCTCTCAAAGGGATAGCCTGGACGAAGGCGTTCTGAAGGTAAGTTACCCATAATGGGAGTGACGACTTTACCCTTCAAGCGTCGACACAGAACGCAATTATGATAGCATAATCTTGCCAAGTTGCGACCTCCTATTGGCCAGTAAGATTCCCTAATGGAAGCCAGTAATAACTGTGGACCAGCATGCAATAGCCTCCTATGCTCAAAATAAAATAATAATTTAGTAAAAGGATGAGTGGACTGTATTACAATGGGGTGCTTTTTATTAAAATTAAAACTAGAATTATCGAGACGTCCTCCTACTCGAATGATATTTTTGTCATCTAAATATACGTTTAACTTGAGAAGGGCGCTCTTCTTAGGTATTTTCTGTTTATTTAAAAGTAGGTGATATTCAGGAAATGATTCACGCTGACTTTGTGTGATCACAATATTGAGTGCATCTTGCAACTCATCCTGAGACAAGTAACTTGTCGCTGCATATTGTTTCCTACATGACTTAATGAATCTGACATAAGCTACAGAACGTAAAACTCGTGAATAATTAGAAAATCGACTAAAATCTATAAAACATGAAGTCACGATACATATTACCAAAACCAGGCTTAACTTTTAATCTACGTTCCAATGACTGTAAACAGTGTGTAGCTTTATTTAAGGCATCACCTAGAACCGACGGGTTGTTCTTAAGAGGTATACGAACACAAAACCGACCATCAGATAATCGTGTCGTATTTTTGGCAAAATGTTCCTCGCACGATTTCTCTTCTGGCATGAAAGAACTCAAAGATTTCGGGTTTACTTCCTCTAGTTGCCAAAATTTCGTTAAATCGGTTCTAAGTTTTTCGCAGTCATCATTAATAGGAACAGTACTACTTAAATTACATTTTAAATTAGTTGATAATGAAGAACTAGAGGTACAGTTTTGAGTTATTGGACCGGAGACTATCCATCCTAGGCGAGTCTCGAATAACATCGGTTTTCCGGTACCTAAGCTTAATCTTTGCGATCCTAATAAATCCCAGAAGAGATCAGCACCAATTAAAAGATCTACATCAGCGGGCTTATAAAAAGTAGGATCAGCTAAAGTAATATTCGGTGGAATATTAAAGTTACTAATATTTACCTCACGACATGGAACATTACTAGTAATGTATGGCAACACAAAACAGTGAAGTTCGAATTTAAAGTCATCATTTAACGATTCTATTTTAAATCGACATTGTTTGCCTACGTTGGACGTGAGATTATTAATACCAAGTATACACCTATTTACCTGGCTAGTTTGTAAGTTTAATTGTCTACATAACCGGTTCGTTATGAATGACGATGTGCTGCCGCTATCGAGGACTGCGCGAACGAGATGCATATAATTATTGCGGTCGCGCACCTTGACTAGAGCGGTTGATAACAACACGTCTCGCTGCATATGACCACTGGAGGATGCAATATGTGCTGATAACGCGATGTTATTTGTC